CAGAGGACAATCTGCAGGAGTTTGTTCTTTCCTTCATTATAGGGCTCCTGAGGATGGAAGCCTGCCTTCCCCATCTCACCAGCCCTTTGGTAGTATCTTTTGTCCATGTACTCCTTCATCTTTATGCAATGCAGATGAGGTGAACAAACAAAGCAAGGCCTGGACTTCCTCTCCTAGAGTGCTCCATTTCAACTCCTAAGTTGACATCCATGGCACTTTTGACTTTGGAGGAAATCATGTTAGACTCAGCCACCCGATTCTGGCTGGAGAGACACCTGCCTTGGTTTAAACCCACCACTGTCAGGTGGTGGCTGCAAAAGCTCTTCAACCTCTGTAGCATCAGTCTCTCCACCTGTGGAATGGGAGAACAGCAAGCAGTGCCAAGCAGTTTACACACAGACAGGCTGTATGGACACAACTTGTGGGGTTTTCTGTTTGTTTGTTTGTTTGTTTGTTTGTTTGTTTTAGCATCAATTCTGTAGCTAATAACAGACAGATAGGCGACTGGGAGGCCATGGCAAGAGACATGCAAAATCAACACCAGCTTTGACTGCCAGGGTTCAAGACCAAACCGGGCAAATCAGTAAGATCCTGTCTCGAAATAAAGGGGGTGAGGTGGGGGGTGGCTCAGTGGTAGAATGCCTGCATAGGACGCACAAAGACCTGGGTCCCCAACAAACAAGAGAAAGAATCATGCACCGGCTCATAGGGCTATTGGGCTAAACACAGAACTGAGTCAGAGCCTAACTTGGGCTCTCATGACCCTGGCTCAGGATGGCTTCCTAGCAGAGTGACTGAAGTCCTGAGGAGCTGCCGGAACTGTCACAAGCAGCTTCACCCCTCTGACACCGGGTTCTGTGAGAGGCCTTATCTCATAGAGTGCAGAGTGATTGGGGAAGACACCAATATCAACCTCTGGCCTCCACATGCACATGCAGACATGTGTGTACACACACGCACACACACATACAGGCACATGTGAACACATGCATGCACACACATCTAACTATGTGCCTTTGTCTATCTCCTGGGATACAGGCGATCTCTGCCATCTGTTAGCATCCATCCATCCATCCACCCATCCATCCATCCACCCACCCACTCACCCACTCATCCATCCATCCATCCATCCATCCATCCATCCATCCATCCATCCATCTACCTACCCACCCATCCATCCATCCATCCATCCACCCACCCACTCACCCACTCATCCATCCATCCATCCATCCATCCATCCATCCATCCATCCATCCAACTACCTACCCACCCATCCATCCACCCACCCGTTCATTCATCCATCCATCCATCCATCCATCCACCCATCCATCCATCCATCATCTGTCTGTATCAATTGTCTCCCAGCACATCACAGTAAGAACCTGCCCATCTCAAAACACTCTCATTTCATTTCTTTATTTTTCCTTTCTTTCTTTTGTCTTTTCTTTCTTTTTTCTTTTCTTCTTCTTCTTATTTTATTTTATTTTATTTTTTTTACAAAACAGGGTTTCTCTGTGTGGCTCTGGCTGTCCTGTTCACTCTGTAGACCAGGCTGCCTCAAATTCAGAGATCTGCCTGCCTCTGCCTCTTGAGTGCTGGGAGAGTGTGCCACCACTGTGCCATACAGAGAATTCTCTCTTTTTCATTCATGTCTTAAATGAATGTTTCTCTTAGACATTGCTGTTTTAATCCTCAGAATTTCAAATAGAACTCCCTAAACCCAACAAATCCATGGTCAAGAGATTTCCCAGCAAACCTAACACAAGACAAGGGCAAAAAGTGCACAAGCCTCAGTCGCTGACTGAGCACCACTGAAGATCAGCGAATGCTCGTTAAAGCCACCGAGCGTCTCAGTGACCATCCTAGGCCCTCTTCCTCCAGGCAGAATTCAACACTGAGCCACTACTGCTCTGCAGGACTGCTCAGCACAGCTCAGCCCCAGCAGGGCCCAGGGACGGGAGCACTAGCCTGAGGTAAGAAGGGCTAGCAGACAACATGGCTGACCAGATACACAAGCAAGAAAAGTAAGGAGGAGGGAGGTGGCTGTAGAGAAAGGCAAGGAGAGGAGGAGATGTGGGAACAGAGGGGAAGAGAAGCATTTGGGGCTCTGAAGTAGGTAGTTCCCCC